TAGATAGATAGATAGATAGATAGATAGATAGATAGATAGATAGATAGACAGACAGACAGACAGACAGACAGATAGACAGATAGATAGACACACACACACACACACACACCTTGCATAGTTTTGGGGGAAGGACACCCATGCACACCCACAAATACATATGCTCCCTCCTTTAGAAAACCTATGCTTGAATCCATTTCTCTGCTTGTTTACTGATAGCCAAACACCTCCTGTAAGAAAGCGAGAGATCAAAGGCATGGACTTCATTGGGCCTTGACGTTCAGCCATTTTACGGGCCAGTTATTTTGCTTTGAAAAAGCACAGAGCCTGGAGACAGATTTATATTTCCATCCAGGTTCCGTGTTCTATTTTATCACACAGTCTGCTAAGTGAAAGGGATTAGAGAGCTCTCATTACTTGTATGTGTTGAAGGGCAGAGATTTACTGAACATCCCTTTGATGTAAACATGGCATCCAAAGCAAACCTTTGGAGTGGGCGGGGGGAGGACTTTCTGTTGGGGAATGTGAGTTGGATAGGCACTGATAAAACCTGGACCTTTTAAAAGTGATCCATACATATTTCAGATGGAAGAGGTGGGAGAGTTTGTGTTTGAAATAATGTGTCCACACAATTCCTTGTACTTCAGGATTCCTCGCCAACCAGCTACCCACTTAAAGACATAAAGGCTGAGGCTTAGCAAAATAATATAAAAAAATGAAATCATACGTGATTTTCAGTAATTACTACTCTTGAAGAGTGCAAACCAGGCCCCTTTAAAAAGCAAACAAATCAAGTTTATAACACAGATGTTGAATTCCCCAATTTTCAGTCCAGAAGGCTAACACAATCGTTCACGTTTTGAGTCATGGTCTCCAATTCATAAATATTTCTAGTTCGAGATGTAGTGACTGCTCACCACTCTTCAAATTGATGATATAAATTAATTTCTACTTTAGATATCACATTCAATATTAAAAACTGGGGATACCACTGGGATTGTCTAAAACCTCTGGTAAACTAAATAAATGAATCATTTTGAAGTCAGAATAGTAAGACACAGTCATTGACTAACTGGGGACAGAGATGCATTGCAGTGAGAGGCTCCATCCCAAACATAAATGTGTTTGTTTTGATGTGTGAAGTAACTCTGTATGCATGCAGAGCGTCTTCAGAAATAGAATATGTGTAGAATTGGAGCAGTGCCTATTACTCTGTGCTTGTCCTCCTAATTGGTTCTTCTGTCGGTGAAAATAATCCTAAATACCCCCCAAACTACCCCCAAGCCCCCCAAAATCTGACTTTGACAATCTTTCTACATTCTGAAAACAAGGGATATTGGAACCTATTTGCTTTTATTGAATAGTATCACTATATATTTAAAAACAGACATGACTTTTGCCAACTGATATATACTTTGCTTTGTCTTTTGTAGAACTTGGTCTCCCAAGAAGAGGATGTTATTTGGTCTTTGGATTTATGTACAAGGAGAAGTATCGGCGAATGACTGAAGGTTAGTGTAACATCTTCTCTCCAAGTATTTTCCTCCTTTCTATATTGCCATGGTTTTACTTTTCTTCCCAGTTTTTTTTTCAAGAAGAAGACTGCAATGTTTTTACTTTAAGCATCTGAGAGATTGTTTTTACATGGCCAAGGTATTTGGGGCAACCTCAGATCCCTTGTTGCAATGCTTACAGAGTAGTCTTCCCTGTTAATACGGAAATTTCCTCTCTAAAGGTCTAGTCTTCATCTCCTGCATTTACAATCTGGCATCAGACATCTTCATGACAGTATCTGCTCAGATCCCTATCCAAGGAGCAAATCTGTGACAGAATCTAGTGACCAGGTACTGCTTGCTTGCTCACCAGAGGCAGTGAACATGCAAATGGCAGTGATGGTAAGAAGAGAAGTAGCTTTCATGGTCTACTTGCTCATTGTCTGCAAACAAACAACTGGTCCCCATGAAGCAAAACCAAAGTGATAAAATGAAGATAGACCCACTGAAGGAGAGAAGACTACTGAAGACAACATGAAACTGGTGCTATACGTGGTTCCTATTGCATATATTCTAAATTATATATTTGGAATATAGCTTCTGGCTCAAACTTTGTTTCTGGAGGTTCATAAATTTCATTACACAAAGTATTTTATTTTTCTTTAACTATATCCTACCTTTCCACACATTAAAAAAAAAAAATCATCATATAACCAATGCCAAACACAATCCAATGGGAAGAGTGTTCTACAAATGGGGTTCCATAACAGAGAAAATGGGTTTCCGGCCAAAATGTAAGCCTGATACATAGGGAACGAATCCTTTAGGCACTTGGATCCCTCTGTACTTATGCCTTCAGAATGCTTTGATTTGGGCCTGAAGCAAAAAAAGGCAACGGGTCATCTTTCCTTAGAATTGCTCTAAATATAATCACATCTGGTTGCAACAGTTAGCATTTTAGTAGCTGCATTCTGTACTAGTCTAAGCTTTCAGGTCCTTTTCAAGGGCAAAGCCATGTATAATGCTTTAAGCATCTGTCAGAAGCCTCTTCCAAATGCAGATGGAGGCTTCAGCTTGCAAACTCCACAGTTGGCTTCTACTTCAGAAGAAGAAGGCAACAAATATTCCATTCATGGACGGAATGATCCACTTAGGGATGATGGTTCCACAGGTACCAATGTACTCCAGCCTGAGAAATATAGTTATATACTAGTGATCATTCCCTTCACCTACTGAGCTCCCACCACCTTTGATTACTCTTGCAATAGGTGGGTGGAACTCAGCAGAAATAATTAAACTAGCAAAAAACATTGGCAGTGGAAAACAGCACCCAAGCAGCTTCCACTTTTAATACTGGACATGTTAAAGAATCAAATCTCATAAAAAAGATATTTAATGTGCTTCCCCTACTTCTGATATTTAATGTGCTACTATTAAAATGAGAAATTGGCAAAGGCTGGTCTCTTAATTGCTTTTCTTTTGACCATAGAAGCTGGTGTTCTGTCTTTTCCTCATTTCCTTATTTCCACTGGAGTATGAAAAGAAACAAATTATACATGGAATTCAAAAATAAGCCAGCAATAACTGGTTGCTCCAAATTTGTTTTTAAAGCTTCTTCCTTACTTGGGCTTTAGAAATTCACAGCGTGCTAAAAGTATCTCTTCTCTTTGATACCAGCATTGCTTTTGATCTATCAGTACTTCATCCAGCTATAAAGTTGCTAAGATATAATAAATGCAGCTGACAACGAAGGTACTAGCAGTGTCCAGGCTAGAGAGAAACATTATAGCAACATATATAAAGTGGATCCTAAGGCCATTAAGGGAACATCCGAGTATCTGTTTACTAGAAAAGGTAGAAGAAAACCGCCTAGAATTTAAACCATAGAGTATAAACCTAAAGGCTTTGATTTCTGTGTATTGCACTGAGCAGATCTTCTTTGTGTATATGGTTTCATTCTTCCCTGCAATAAAAAGTCTAACATAGCCAAGTCATGTCTGACAGCCTTCTGCCAAGTAAGTCAGCTCCTGAATAATGGGTTAAGTATATGGAGAACTAAGATTGACAACTGAGTCTGATGTGAACCCTGACTGTTAAGGACAAGACATCATGAAATAGCACCACCAGCATGATGAATCAATTCAAACATTTGGGGAAATTATATCTAAAATATATATTTATTCTTTGCAACTTTCTCCAGTGATGTTTGCAATAGGAGACCCAATTTTTTAACAGGTAGGTTGCCCATCACTTATAGAAACGTATAAATCAGTAGATTTGCTTTTTTCCAACAACATGCTCTGGTTGATGTGCTGAAATAAAAACAGATGGTCCTCTCATATATTACTCATGTGAATGGGATAAGGTGTGTAGCAAGGGCTGTGAACTGGACTAGTAGCCTCCTCACATGCATCATCATTCAATTCTCACTGGTTCTGTTGTCCATGCATTCACATGGATACCTTAAGCAGAAAATTTGTTTTATGTAGATTTTCAGTTATGAAGCTTAGTCCAGATCCTGAAAGTCTGACTGAACATCACTTCAGGATCTGAGAAAGTTTCCCCATGCAGACTGATTTTCTATACTGAGAAGTTCACATAAATTCCTAAATGTTGGGAATGGTGCAGAAGGAGCCATATCTCATCAGCCTTATATCTCCTTTCAAGACGCTTTGCCCTTTAAGGTGAATAATCAGAGGGGGCCAGATCCCCACAGCAGAATTTGAGACTTAAGTTAAAGTCTAGCTGTGGAACTAGACTAGTAGTCATTTTTCATGACAAAGTAATGGTGGATGTACTGTATAAAAAATACACAGTAATGATTATTTTGAATAGTTTCATAAAACAAATCAGAGTTATTTAAAAATAAAACAAAACAAAAACAAAACAAAACAGAAGCAGGCTGTTGCAACAGACAGTATGTTAATTAGAATACAGACAGCTACAGCTTTACTGGATTTAGCTATAGGACTCTAGAGATAAAGCAATCATATGCCTATTTGCATCTGCATATCACCTTTGGAAATGGAACAAAAAACTCAGAAGTTCACTCATTCAACAAAAATGGCCATATACGCAAAAAGGATAATCAAATGATTGCATAATTTTCCCTGCTCCAAATTATCAAAAGGTCTCTTAATCTACTATCTCTGTGAAATTATGGACAGTCACTTAGGAGAAAGAAAAGTTTGTAGCAGGCTTACTTAAACAAATGTTAGAGTCTTCTTCAAATCCCAAATGCTTGGACCGTGTTGCAGATACAGCATTTGAAACAATGAAGAATATTGTGTTGATGTTAGTGCCAACTTAAGGCAAAATTTCCAGATCAGATCCTTGAAACAAAGCTTTAATTGAGTCACTGGGTGGGATTGGTAATATATAGATCAGTCTATATTCTATCCTCATGTTTTTCACAGGGATTCATACATTAGTCCATTCCATCTAAGTGACAAATCCTTCTGCAGATTTTAAAATAACATGCAATATATCTTCATTTGTTTTTTGTACAAAAGTTTCCCAAACATAGAGAGCTGGTAGTTTGCATTTTTCCTTTAAATATGCACCCTTACCCAAATATAATATTTTGTACACAATTTATTTTCAATGGACATATTTTTGCATGCAGCTTTTTCCATACTGTTGTTCCTCCAAACAATAGTTTACAATGTGGCATAGTTGATTATGTGAAGGATGTGCCCACTGATGCCCTGAGACTTAGATTTCAGTTAGTAAAGGTAAAAGCTCATTCAGATTCAGCTTGACTCTTAGATATGTCCATTTTTCTTTTCTTGTCAACCATGTAGAAATGATTTGCCCTCCCCTTTTCCCACCATTTTTAAAACATTTCCTAAATCTAGCCTACAGCCATCAGGTTGCCTGGTGGTTTCCCACCTCAAAAATAAACATGTAAGATATGTTTCCAACTTCCTCATTTGGAAGAAATGATTCCCAGTGAGAAATGTGGCACTTCTTGACTACTCTTTCCTTATTTTACCGTTCTATATCTTAGAGCTCATCTTTATACAGTAAGTATAATTTCTTTAGGTACCTGGCAGCCATTTTGTTTATGCAGCTGTTATGTGGCCTAGCAAGTGTCCTCTCCCTGAGGGGGATTTTTCATTAGCATCACATATTTTTCCCATGTGTTATTCAGATTTTGTATAAAGCCTCTGTCAGTATTCAAAATGCCTTCATGAAACAGAATAGCAGACCAAGATTTTGGCAAACTTTAAAATCCTATGCCCACTCTAAAAAATCTTTTGAAAAGGCCTTCAGGATATGATAGTAACTTTAAAAACCAACACAGATATACTTTAGCTTTTGTTCCTACCAGTCTCCATTTGTTGTTTTCTCTGGAAATTGATGAGATTCTAAAGATGTAGTTTGCTTTATGGATGATTTAATACAATCACCATTAGCAGTGCATGAAGAAGCATCTGTGACTGCTGATCAGAATCTGCAGTTCCTTAAAAAGTAGAGGCAGGACCTCTATTTTGTTCTGCTGAATTAACTTAGCAAAATGTTATATATAACCTTCGGTGCAAGGCAACTCAGTGGAAAAGTAATATTTTGGCCAATGGCTTAAATGTCAAGATGGCAGCTGCAACCATGTGATTGAAACCCTGCCCCTCCTTTATGTGGGTCACATGTAAAAAGAGATAGAGTTTCAATTGCATGTCATGGACAGATCTTGACGGTTTTTTAGCCCTCCATGAATGACCCTGAATAAAAGTGTTTCTTTTGATTGATTGATTGATTGATTGATTGATTGATTGATTGACTGGATTTATATCTCATCTTTTTATTTACAACTCAAGACAGCATACATAATGCTCCCTCCTCCAATTTTCCCCACAACAACAATCCTATGAGGTAGGTTGGGTTGGGCTGGGAGAGCGATTAGCTCAATGTCACCCAGCTGGCTTCTGTGCTAAGGGAGGGCTAGAACTCACAATGTCCCAGTTGCTAAAGTTAGAGTCTGCCATTCTTACTTGTTAACATAATATTACTTCCTGAAT